CGTGTGTGTGTGTGTGTGTGTGTGTGCGCGCGCGCTTGCGCGCGGTAGTGTGTGTGTGTGTGCTTCGGCGGAATGTGGAGGTGTGTGAGGTGTTCCGGGTCACTGGTTCAATGCGTCTTTAGATTTTGTATGGTCACTTGGAGCGTGTAGCACGTTTTTGTAGGCCTACACAGACGTACATGTATTTCGGTCTTCGAGGGTACTGACAGTAAAATGGATAGATCTAGGCTTCAGTGGTCATTTTCAATGCTGTGTTGGACAGTCTACTTTCTACAGATTGAATAAACAGCAGCTGGCATAGCGTGAGGTTTAGGGGCAAGAGGAGGAAAAGGTGCTACTAAAACACCCTTCCCTGATCACTGTGAGTTGAAATACAATTATAAAACATTGATCTCTGTATTGATTTATATAGAGAACATTTCTCGTATTATTAGGCCTACTGTTACTCTCACGAAACCCACATATTGTATGTGTCATAACTTGTTTGAAAATAGGCTTACAACTTCACATCACCTCTGTTGAATGAAACTACCGACATGTAGAGGCATTAATATATTTTGTGCTTACACAACAGCCTGCTCCCAGCGACGAAGGGTGTGTAGATTCTAATACTTAAAATATAAACAACGTTTGATTAGGTTTAAACTCTTTCTTTCAGCCAATTTGCCTTTTCTGTTTTGTTCTGGAACTCTCAAGTTCGAAGGCAAGCGATATTTTCTCTATACTGTAAGATATCTCACAGTAGCACTAACAACCTTTAGAGGCAACACATCTTACGTAAATCGTCGTGTTCAGTTCGAGAAGAATGAATGAAAGTCGTTGAAAAATGATATAATCTGATTTAGACAAAGAGTATCTTTTATTAGTTCACAACTGTTTACACAAAATCATATATAGTATCTGAAAACGATATTCTGATGAGAAAGAAATGCCATCTTCGTAATAAAATAGTTGTCAGCTTTAGGCTAAATAGACAAAAGATTTAATGCTTTTAAACTGATCTTCCTTATTTCCACACTTATTCTCGACGTTTTATGCTACCACCAACAGAGTCTAAGTTTAATTCAGGTGGCCCTTTGCTTTGACCTTGCCTACCATGGCCCACAAAGGCTTAGGTGGGGTTCAACCAACAGCATCCCAAAGGAAATAACAAAATCATGCAACTGCTTGATGACTATGTAGTCTCTTAGTATACGGCACGCCAGTTCAGCTGACTCACAGCCACAGTCCTCCTCCTCCTCCTCCTCCTCCTCCTCGTCTTCAACCACCTCTTCCTCCTCCTTCTTTCATCCTACTGAACTGTGCCGTTGCTCATGCAGCTGCTGAGATCGAATTTGATGGCGATGGTACTTGTGAACACATTGCCAAAAATTCTACCAAGCCCCAGAAAAACCTTGTTATCACTAAGCAAAGAGTATATTTACTGCATTGATCAATCATATTATTATCTCTTCATTTTGGTGTTTATTTCATACAAATTAATTATATATTTAAATAGGAGCGGGCAGTGTAGAAGTTGGATAATATAACTGGCTGCGAACAAAGGAGGAATGTGGGTGGTTGGCGGGTGCTGTGGTGTGATTTGCTCCTTCTTTCCTACCCCCCCCCCAAAAAAAATCGGTCGTTCTTATCCTTCCTCTTTTTTAAATATTATATTTGTTGCTCTCTTGCTGCACCTCTTTTCTTTGGCACTTATGTGACCATATTGTGTTGCAAGTGCCGTAAAACGCTTACGAAAACAAAGGAGTATACTTTCGTATACATGTACTAAGTTTTAAACTATTAGGACTCCCTGCTGGGAATCCAACTCGCAACTGAATCCCCCGACCGCTGAGCCAAACATTCAACTCGGACTCGACACCGAGGCTTACCGACAAGCAGAATTAGTCTCATAATAGTTGATACAGTTGAACCTGTGTAAGGCAGAATCGCAAGGAAGCCAGAACCAAAATTTCGCCCAAGACATTTTCCGTCTTAGACAGGGGATTTTAAGAGGAGATGGAAAAGGGGGAGAGGGGGGCCAAAGGCCCTTCCGATGGGATCAATGATCCTTTGTTCGGTAGGCAAGTAGTGGTCGAAATTTCACATCTCTCGTCAAGTGTTTTTCTGGCCTCTCTGATAATGGCATGCGTCAGTCCGACTTATCCATTGCCAAGAGTGCTTGCATTTCATTGGGCCACTGTTCGACCTATTATTTAAAGAGATGGAAACGATTGAACATTTCCTTTGCTTCCACCCTTTTACGGGGTGCCTGCTACGGATGGAATTGGCCGATCGGTCCGACTCGGTTGCCTAAAAAACTAACGTCAGGCGACCGAGTCGGAAGATCGGCCCGATCCAGCCGTAGTGGGCACCCAGTATTAGCCCCACCCATCGGTGTAATAATAAGCTCAGTCAACCTATGCTACCCCTCCCGTGCATGTAACAACGATTCGAGTTCGAGGAACTTTTTCTCGGTTGTCCGTGCGTTCACAGCGAGCGGTCAAACTAATTTCACACCTCTGGCCTCTGGTATCTCAGGAAATTTCCGTGCTGGAGCACTTTCGCATATACTGGCGAGATTTCACACCAACATAATCCTAACCGTCTGCGCCACTCAGGGCTCACATGGATAGGGTAATATCTAGAATAAGAACGTTTAGGGTAATATCTAGAATAAGAACGTTTAGGGTAATATCTAGAATAAGAACGTTTAGGGTAATATCTAGAATAAGAACGTTTTGGGTAATATCTAGAATAAGAACGTTTAGGGTAATATCTAGAATAAGAACGCTTAGGGTAATATCTAGAATAAGAACGTTTAGGGTAATATCTATCCCCAAGCCCAAGTCGCACCCCTACTTCCCTTCCTCTTTTGGCGTCATGGCGTAAAGGTTAGAGAGTTAGACTGTTAGACCCAACGGAACCGTACTTGAAAGTTTTGTTTCATCAAATCAGGGCTGAGGGCAAAGCATGTTCCATCGTAGACTGGTAAAAACCGTCCGAAGAAATTTCTCTGTCCGTTTTAGAGTATGGCAGGTATCCGTCTTATAAGGGTTATTATAGAGATAAATACAAAGGCAGGAGCGGGGAGACCTCATTTTGACAGGTTTCCGTCTTATACAGGTTTCCGTTAAAGCAGGTTTGACTGTACATGGTATTGAATCTAGTTCGACTTCAACTGATTGTACTCATGAAAACATTCGTCTTCCCCACCCCCCCTCCATCACCTCTTCCTCTTCCTGCTTCTCCTCCTTTTCAACCGCCTCCTCTTTCTCCTTTTCATCCGCCTCCTCTTCCTCCTGCTTCTCCTCCTCCACTCATGACTGCTTCAACATAGACTATAGACGTTGACAGAGTTGCTAATACCGTACCAGAACGAACTGATTCGCCTATTCCCCGGCCAAGTGTGTTTCGTAATGCACACCTTAATATTTAGTCAGCCGCAAAGAGCGCCCATATTCGTCGAGCAGAAACGTTGAGCCCCCTCTAAAGTCAGTTGTTTAAAAATGTTTTTAAAAATATTAACAGAAAAATTACGTAGGTGAAATCATGTGGAACGCAACTTTTTGTTCCTTTTTTGTACTATTTTAACAATGAGGTCCGTGCAGCAAATATCTAGTACAATATGTAATATTATGATAAGCCCTTTTCCAAGAGACTCTATCTCTGGTGCTTTACTTTGGAGAAAAAAAAAGATGTTAACGCGAGAAAGACCAGGGTGTAAGATGATGGTAATCGTCATGGTGTCAACTATGACGTCACACGGAAGTTCATTCATTTTTATCCAATTCTTTTTTCACTACTTTTATTGCATCTGTATGCTTCCCAAGAAGTTGAGATTGTTTCAGAATGATACCAGGCCTGCTGGGGCAATAGTATAGATTGTAAAGCACATACAGCCTGCTGTTCAGTGGGAATTTGTGCTATACAAAAACTGTCTTTTGTTATCTACATCCTACTACGTCTATTTTGTTCAATCCACAGAGATCCGGGCAACATGCGGTGCGTATGGAACTGCCAGAGGGCCGTTTTGTCGGGCTTCTACAAATACGGCCATTTCCTTGGGAGCCACCCAGCACCCTTCCTTGTGCTCCCGCTTCTGATCTGCTCCGGCCTTGCTGTTGGCTTTCTGTTTTACAACCCAGAGACAGACGTAGGTGAGTAGCAGTAACAATATCTTTGTTCGGTGCCCGTCCATTTGGCTACCACGAAAAGGGAGTCTACTCACTTGTGGATTGAAGTAAGCAGGTACACCGTCAAGTGGAACAGTTGTCAAACTAGTAGACCATCACATGGACCGGCACCTTTTGTTCTCATTTGATGGAGAAGAAAACACATTTTTAAAAAATACAGTGGCGTACAAAAGGAACTTGAAAATGTAATCACCCAATCGTCGTATTAAAGCCTTGCGTTAACTACTCATGCAGCATACCAATTTAAAGCTAAATAAATTCTGCATCATCTGACACATTGAAATTTTGATCTATGTTAAGAGACGACCGAGATATGGTCATACAAAGTTGACCTTAAAAAATCAGGCTTGGCAGAATAATGCGAAATGAAAAAAACCTTAAAATTGTCTTCGTGTGTGTATTGAGAAGCATGAATATTGATAAAAAGGACATACATTGCATATATCCAATGACTGGGGAATTTTTTCTCTACAATAAGCAATATTTTATTACGATATTTTGTATTGATAGTTTCAAACAAAACGGAGAACAGAGCAATCACAAACACCACGCAAAACTTGGACTTAGCATTAAATGTGCTCATTGTTATTTTGCTTACGAGCCATTGGTTTTGTGAACTGCAAGACCCCTTTCAGCATCGACTTTATTTTGGACATAATTATCTGTCATTGCATCCCAAATATCACTGAGAGTTGTACACAAAAGGTCTGAATTGGGAGCAAAGTGGTTTTTCTTCAGCTACTGTTTCATGGGACTTCACATACCTGTAGAATTCATATCAGGGCTATTTACCGGTGACCACTCCAACGTTGATTTGAATTGGTTTTCCAAGAATCGTGGCATTGGCCCTGTGAGAAAATGCTTTGCTGTTACATGGAGATGTCTACTTGAATTGCATCATAGCACTTGCGCGATGTAGTCTTCTAAACCAAGCCACCCGATGATTCACACAGGGGAAGTTTTGTTCATTCCTCCCCAGACCACCCCAAACCATGGCCGTTTCGAGACCACTGTTCCTCACTGACTTATGCTTATGCCCAAAATCTGACTAACACAGTCCATGGACAAAACAGGTTTCGTGCTCTACACATAACTAATTGTTCCTAATCAAAACCAAAATTACTAATGAACACATGTAATGTTAAGTCCATGTTTTGAGAAATATTTCTAACTGCTCTGATTTCCAATCTGTTTGAAAATATCATCTTAAGATGCTCTTCACTGCAGAAACAATAATATTCTCTTTTCATTTGATATCTATACATGTCCATGCCTTCAAAGTTGACACACCTCAATCTACGCGCTTTCACACTTTGACGTTTCTTTGATTTCGCACAGTTTTGCCAGCCTGATTTTTGAAGGTCAATTTTGAGTGGCCATATCTCGGGCGTCTCTTGAAATAGATAAAATTTTGATGTGTCAGATGAAGCAAAATTTATTTAGCTATAGGTTGGTATGCTGCATGAGTGGGTAGTGCAAGGCCATAACACAATGATTGGGTGATTACAATTTCTAGTTTCTTTTGGACGCCACTATTATTATAATATATTATTGTTGGTTTCACTTCAAATATATATTAAAAAAATACATTCTACAAGTAGCCTACTATTTACAATGGTATTGCTCCTTTCTAAAGCTAACGAGATGTTGAGGCAATTATGTGGTCC